TGTCGTTGGAGTATGTCTCGTCTCGTCTGTGTGTCGTTGGAGTATGTCTCGTCTCGTCTGTGTGTCGTTGGAGTATGTTTCGTCTCGTCTGTGTGTCGTTGGAGTATGTCTCGTCTCGTCTGTGTGTCGTTGGAGTATGTCTCGTCAGTATTTTGTTGGAGTATGTCTCGTCTGTATTTTGTTGGAGTCTGTCTCGTCTGTGTATCGTTGGAGTCTGTCTCATCTGGGTGTCGTTGGGGTCTGTATCGTCTCGTTTGTGTATCGTGGGTGTCTGTCACGTCTGTGTATCGTTGGAGTCTGTATCGTCTGTGTGTTGTTGGAGTCATTGTTACTGTCAGTATACTATTATGTGTTACTGCCTGTGTATGTATGTTACTATCTGTGTATCGGTATTTTTGTTATTATGTTAGGATTCCTATCAATGTGTCTGTGTTGTTATCATTCAGCGTGTAACTTTTAGTCTTTCTATGTTCCTGGCACTCAGTGTGTCCTCCAAAGGGAAAAGGGGGGGGGGGAGGGTATTAACATGTTCTTATGCATAGTCAAATTGTAAATGGGCTGATTTATCAATGTCACGCTCATACTGCGACGGGACAACATATGGGAAAGCTGCTGCTTTTTCTTTCCTCATCCTTACTGTCGTAATTGTTTCCTCTACTTCTTTTGTATGTGTGTCAATCTCTTGTGAACTGCTATTTCGCGGGTGCCTTGCTAGTCGAAGTAGACTTTGTGCTGTTGAGGCGAGAGAGGTGAGCAGAGTAAGTCTGATTTCCCGTTTGGACTTCTCTTTAAACACCTACCTCTTGGCGCTCATATGGCCTTATGCAGCTGCGACTGCCGTAAAACCGTACTAAAACAAAACAAAACAAAAAAACCCCATCAAAACAGTGTGTCTGTGTAACTATTAGTGTGTTACCTTCAGTCAGTGTTTCTGCGCCCTTAAAAACAGCTAAAGATGACTGGTGTTATTGAAAGGAATTTAACTCTGTGCCAAAATACAAAGAAGAAAACTATTTCAACGGTTATGTCCCTTACCCTTCATCTTTACAGAGGATCCTGCGCTCAGCCCATTTCCACTCGCTCGGACAAGGAAATTTTCAAATTTTGATATTTGAAGAAGAACCCCCCCCTCCCCCTCCCCTCTTCTCTGCCCCTCCTACATTCGCG